AGTGTACACATAACAAAAAACAAACCAATTCCCTCATGCACAGAAGCATCTTCCACACCTTGCCATCAGAAAACGACCACACTACAAGAAAAAGAAAAAGAAATACCCCGGAGCTCCTCCAGTAATTATAAAATACACACTAAAAAATCAATACACAAAGTTAATACCAACAAACACCGCACCTAACCGCCCATCTCGCACAGTGTCGGCACCGACGCAGCACTGTTCAGCCACAGCCGGCTTCTTCTTCTGTGCTCGCGGACGAGAAATCTCACGCATCTCAGGATCCCGCAGCAGGCAACGGCTTCGAACCCGTCGAGAGCTTTTAATGCGTTTCGCACAAAAACAGTCCGTATCTCGCGTGACGACAAGGCCCTTACGCGCAACGGCGGTGTGCACGGGGCTGGTGCGTGCGCTGCAGACACGAGGCAGGGGAACGTCAGTGAGGCCCCGGGAAGGACCAACCGCCAGAACTCATTTCACGGCGCAGGGCGCATCGAAAAAGGCACACTCAGTCAGCGAGATCATCACGCAGCAGCAAAGAAGGCAGAAAAGGAGCGGAGGGAAGGAGGAAGAAAGGGCGCAGTACATGGCACTTATCATCTCCGGGACTACCAGAAGGCACCACCGCGGCAGAGCACAGCGCACGGGCACCTCGGATTGCCCCGTGGAACACGAGCCCGCACCACGCTTAAGCACTGCTCGCAACACAGGGTGTAACGATGTGCGGTCAACAATCCATCCCTGCAATATACTCTATTTCTATTATCTGCGATCCAATACATATACATATATATAAAGGGCCCGCGGCAAAAGAAAAAAAAAGGAAAAAAAGTTATTCTTCATTTTCCACCCTTCGCAGAGGATCACGGCAGAAGCAGCATCATGACATCGCTGAAAAAGAGCAGTGTATAAAACAAAGAAGGGCTGAATGAATGGTGAGCAAAGTGAGGGGTGTCGGACGATTACTTCGAAAACACTGCCAAAATGGTTTGGTCTTATCAAAAGCGTGCATGTTCGATTGTTACGTTTCTGCCTTCTGTCTTTTTTTCCGTATGATTATTTGTGTGTGGGTGTGTGGTGCTCTCAAGATATTTTCCAACACGCACATGTATGCTTCCGCGGTGGACGCGGTAAAATACGTCGTTTGTTTGTGAAGCATCCAAAAAGTAAAAAAAAAAGAAAAAAAAGAAATCGTACAAAAGGCGAAGCAAAAAAAGATAATAAAAAAAAGAAGAAATGCGATGCAGCAACATCCATGCAACAAACTGAGGCATCAATGGCTTAAATCTAAGTCGTGTCTCAAAAAAAAAAAATCTTCATTCACCAGGAATATTTGAAAGCAAATTGGTTAACTATATAATATATATATATAGCTAATTTTTTTCTTTTTTGATGTTTGTTTGTTTGCCTATTTGTTGTTGTTGTTGCATTCTTATGCGTGGTGGTGGAGGGCTGTGGGTGCACCGGCGGTCGGTTCTCCCGTGGGCGGCTAAGCCGTCATATTCCGAGCAAAGCGCCCAAGAGAGAGCAAAGAAGCAGCCAAGGCAAACTGGGAGTAACGGCAACGCTGCCTGCATCCACCCCGAAGTGTTTTTTCCTGGCGTCGGTTTTTTTCATCTCCAAGGGCTTCGAGAGGCTCCTCTGCACTGGGCCCTCCACAGGCGTAAGCAGGTTCTGGAAGGTGTTGTTATCGAGCGTAGGTTTCAAGACGGCAGAAGCAAGGGTGGTGCAAATATCCGTGTATCTTGGGCAGATAATGTGGCCGCGGGTGAATGGAGGTCCTGGTTTCAACCGGTGCCCCTCTGGGCAAGGATACCAGGTGTCATCTCCCACGTACCGTATGCTTGCAACCCCTTTATGTTCGCACGATACCTCCACGCAGATGGCACCAATGGTCACCGAGTTGAAGCGAAGCAAGTCGCTTTCCACGCATCGCGAATTGGGCCCCACACGACACCCAGTAAAATTGTTCAGAGTATTGGTGCATGCGCCTTCCCCCGACGGCATAATAACAGGACAGTAATCCGTCAATTCATTCGGTGAGCCGCCCATAAAAGGGTATTTAAAGTACCTATACACCGGATGCAGATCCCGTCCAAAATGAAACAAGCCGCAAACCCCCAGCGCCAAATGATCGGATGTGCATTGAAATAGAAAGGAACCATCGACGCAGAACATATCAGGGTATTTCGTGGTACCATTGTTTACGCATTTCTCTTCCAGAAAATCGCATCCAGTGTTTCTGCCCCACCCCATCACCTCCTCCATGCCCCAATTAGCGCGGTAATACCCCAAATCCTCAAATGCAGCCATCGTCATGGCGGAGTAGTACCCGATCCCAGCAACACCCGCCATTATCTCATCCTTTGCGTTCCGCCGCTCCCAGTGAGACTGCGCCGTCCCCGCACCACCCTCATCCTCCAGCTCCATACCAGGCGCCCTATCGCAGTTAAAATGTTTCCGCGTCACCTCCCGTGTCTTTTCGGAAGACACTACGAGGACGTTGGATTTGCCACGAATTTTGGACAACTTGGTGACCATTTTGCTTTCAGCAAAGAGTTGAACGGAAAATCCAAGAGCGTGTGCAATCTCATGTGCAACGGCACGCGAGAGGTCCTGCCTTGAAGAGATGTGCTGCGGACCAAAGTTGAGAGCACCAACAGCGGGTCGACCACCACTCCTGAGAGCACACGGTACGCCCCACGCGACATTCACGTCATGCGTCGGCCCAGCAGCAACATAAAGGATAAAATCGGCACCAGTAATCCCTTCAGCAAAATGACTATCAGGAATCAAAAACAAAGTACACGCGCCAACGAGAGAGGGCGGCAACACAAATAATTCCGTTGGTTGAACAAGGAGACGATCCGAATGTAACTTAATGGAGTCTGGTAAGAGCTTATTAATAAGAAGCGCCCTCTTTTCTTCAGTAAGGATATGCTTCTTCTCGCACTTCACCGTGTTACCCTCGTAGTCTGGACGCATATCTCCCTCAGCCGTGCAATAACGTGACTTATTCTTCAGATCCTCTGTGAAAAATCCGATGCGTAACGGCCTCCACTCCGGCTCACTGGCGGTGTATGCCTGGAATGCACCCTGTCCCTTCCGCGGCAGCTCACGCACCATAGGCAGAGGAGCACCATCTCGCGTCCTCTTGTCGAACGTGCAGCGATGTTCCACAAGGCCCGAACAGAGGCGCACACAAAGCAGCAGCAGCAGCAATATTAGGGGTAGCGTCGATGACGAATAAAAACTGGACATTTGCATGCAAAACGAGATGCGATCACACCTCACACTACATGCAAAGCAAAAAAAAAAAAAAGGAAAAAGAAACAGACCTGGAAAAAAGAAAAAAATTGTACACATAACAAAAAACAAACCAATTCCCTCATGCACAGAAGCATCTTCCACACCTTGCCATCAGAAAACGACCACACTACAAGAAAAAGAAAAAGAAATACCCCGGAGCTCCTCCAGTAATTATAAAATACACACTAAAAAATCAACACACAAAGTTAATACCAACAAACACCGCACCTAACCGCCCATCTCGCACAGTGTCGGCACCGACGCAGCACTGTTCAGCCACAGCCGGCTTCTTCTTCTGTGCTCGCGGACGAGAAATCTCACGCATCTCAGGATCCCGCAGCAGGCAACGGCTTCGAACCCGTCGAGAGCTTTTAATGCGTTTCGCACAAAAACAGTCCGTATCTCGCGTGACGACAAGGCCCTTACGCGCAACGGCGGTGTGCACGGGGCTGGTGCGTGCGCTGCAGACACGAGGCAGGGGAACGTCAGTGAGGCCCCGGGAAGGACCAACCGCCAGAACTCATTTCACTGCGCAGGGCGCATCGAAAAAGGCACACTCAGTCAGCGAGATCATCACGCAGCAGCAAAGAAGGCAGAAAAGGAGCGGAGGGAAGGAGGAAGAAAGGGCGCAGTACATGGCACTTATCATCTCCGGGACTACCAGAAGGCACCACCGCGGCAGAGCACAGCGCACGGGCACCTCGGATTGCCCCGTGGAACACGAGCCCGCACCACGCTTAAGCACTGCTCGCAATACAAGAAGGTAATTAGAAATAGAGGAGTAAGGAACCGTACCTAACCGCCCATCTCGCACAGTGTCGGCACCGACGCAGCACTGTTCAGCCACAGCCGGCTTCTTCTTCTGTGCTCGCGGACGAGAAATCTCACACATCTCAGGATCCCGCAGCAGGCAACGGCAGTCCAATCCCTTTTTCTTTTCACTTTAAGGTCCTAACTACGGGATGTGAAAGATAAAAAGCAAAACAGACAATTTTGTTTACGAAGTCCATCAAGTCAAGTGACCAGTCTTTTATTATAAAAGTACTTGAATTCTGGCAGCATTAATCATTACGTTAAAATAATAAAAATAAGATTTGAAACTATTATCGATCTACATATATAAGTATATATAGATGTACTGTTCGAAATCACTTTTAATTTGGCGGTTGACAAAAGAATTGTTCTCAGTTGTTGTTGTTGCATTTTTGTTTTGATTTGTTTTTTTGTTTTTCCGAGGGGGTTGTGTTTGTGTGTGGATGTCCCATCATCTCTTCTCTTTCTTTCTCTCCATTGTGCGACAGTAGCAACGGCACCCAGTCGAGAACAGGTTCGCCCCCCCAAGTCGGGTGTTTTTGTGTCAACAAATGGCAAGACGCGCACTGCGTAATTTGGGGTGTGAATGCACATCGGGGTGAGACAAAATCATCCTGTGCAACGAGCGACTATCCCTCCATTTCAACCTTTCCGACTCTTTCCGTCTCTTCCTGCTCTAAAAGCTCATTTACTTTGCGTTGTCGGCTTCGCATCTCTTTTATTGCCAAGTTTTGACGTTGTGCGCACTGAATCTTGATGGAGGCTTCTGTTGGCGTCATTTTCGTTTGTTTCTGGCAGTGTGCGCTTGCCCAGTCATGCAAAAAGGCGTATATGTCATTTGGCTTTTGGCGAACGACCTCGGCAACGAAGGTCTCGAGATACTCGCGCATCCCGACACGCTCAAGGTACTCTCGCTGCTCCTCGCTGTATTCAAGATTATAGTCCATACTTGTGAAGGATGCCCCTTTGCCCTCGTGTAAGTGGGTTGTCTCTTTTTTTTTTTTCTCTCTCTCTCTCTATCCCTCCTCCTGTGTGAAGGGCGAGGAAGGCTGTTTGTTAGTTTGCTTTGTTTGTCTGTTTTTTTTATTATTATTCCTCCTTGCAATTAGTACTCATGAGGTAAATGGCAAATGGAATTGACGTGCCGCAAAGACCACAAACATATGAGAGGTGGTACAAGTGCAGGATAGCGTGAAGAACTGAACCACAGTGAGGCCCTCCCCCCATGCTGAAAAGGCATCCACATTTGTTTATTTATAAATAATATATTGCAACTGAGAGAGAAAAGTAAAAGAAAACAAAAAATATAAAAATAATAATTCCCCAGTCAATAAAATGGAAAATATATAAATATATATATATATATTTTCGACAACCTTACGTACACATTGCAGCTGCCATGTGTATTAATTAACTGCAACGTGTGGTTCTAATCTCTCTGTTTAATATTTCCCAATAGTGTGAAGAGGCATGTCTGCCAAACGCTACGTTGGGGCTCGAGATAAATAAATCATGCTGCCGTCAGCTCTGGTGAAGGAAGAGTACGAGAACGTAAAACTGGTGTCGCCGCAGTCCTCATTTATCCCGTGCTCGTCTGATGGCGGCAGTGGAGAAGAGCGACACCGGGGTCCCCGAAGGACATGGC